TAATTTAAAGCAGAACCTGCAAAGCGATCCAATACTAAATGGAAGTCACTACCTTGCCGAATTAAGGCTAGTCATGCTAGACCGCATTTACTTCGTTTTTACTAACTGTCGCTCACAGCTTTTCAACATTTGCCACGAGGTTAACCTTTAACACACTTTACTGTGTTCAAATTGGTGCGCACTCTGACGTCTGATGCTGGTTAAGTTTTATTTTCCATTGGGTTTTCCATGTGACATTCGGTAATTTTACAACCAACGGACGTTAATTCTCCTTTATATGTATTATTTATCTTTAAACAGCTCCATACTTTAAATTAACGGTCTAAACTCGTGTTTGTCATTCACAAATTATCAAGCAATACATTTTTATTCCAGTAAGCTACAGCAGTCTTTATGCACATACAAATAAACAACCAACATGCTTTTGCTTCGTAGGTTCGCTTCGCTTAGCCTTGCTTAGATTGTATCTACGAAGCCTGCGCGCAGGTAAAATTGCAATATTTCGTGGCGGTACTGTAAAATATATGCATCTGTTAAAATTAGATTCCTGTAATTCTATTGTCCAAAAGTCCGAAAATTACGATGTTTTTAGTCCTATGTCGAAAATTAGCGAATTACCCTAGGCCTTGGACAAATGGACACTATCAATTCAAAGGAATTTTTGTAGCTCAACTCTCATCCTTAGTAATATAGGAGGCCCTAGACAATAAAAGGAACATATCTTTAGTAGGCCTTATGACACGTGCATAACGATAGCCTACCCTAGTCTTAAACACCCTATCTAGGCTAGCAAGCCAGGCCTAGCTAGGCCTAGAGCCTTTTTAGGCTAGGCCTAGGCTAGGTTAGGCCCAGGCCTACAGAATTAGGCCCATATCGGCAGCTACCTATAGCGGCCGCCCTCCAGAACGGCCGCCAATGCGTGTATATGTATGGAACGCCGATGACGCATTCACAATGCAGTACATTGTAGTTAAATGGTTTGGAATAGGCTTAGGTCAAGTAGATTTGGCATAGGCCTAGGTCAAGTCGGTTTAGAATGGTGTAGAACAAGTTCGGCCAAGATATATTTGTATGGAACACCAAGTAGGCGCAAAGCTATTGCTGCTACAGACTCGGTATCCATTATTTTGTGTTTTATTGTTAGGTCTTTTTATGTTGCCAAATAATTAATGTGGCATTATTATGCTGCCATTAGTTTGCCAAAACAACAGTTGATTTTATTAGGTTTTGTGCAAGTCCCGTATAAGTTAATAATTAATGATTTAGATGGCACATATTTCGATTTATCTATTTAAAACAAACGAATGTACATTATATGTTCAATCATATGTTAATAATCGTGTTGTATTATCAGGTATTTTGCTGCTAATTAATTAATGTCGTTTTAAGCAATTCAATGGCATTAATACTGAGATGAGTTTGCGAACAAAACATTGGATTTTATTAGGTTTGTGTAAATTAATAAATGTTTTAAGATTCATATGTTTCATTTTATCTATTTGAAACAAATAAACAGTGGATTTTATTAGGTTTGTGTAAGTTTATAATAATGTTTTAAGATTTATATATTTCGTTTGACCTATTTGGAACAAATGAACAGTGGATTTTATTATGTTTGTGTAAGTGAATAATAATGTTTTAAGATTCATAATATATTTTGTTTTATCTATTTGAAACAAACGAATTTATATGTTGGTAATCAAACCAACGGATTTTATTATTTTCATATTACAGTGTCGATGCATGTATTGAAGAGAAAGAAGAATAATGTTAATAATATTAATATACTGCCAAATTACATTTTTCGTAATATAATATTAAAGCTTACAGTAATTGATGCTTTATATTTCGTTGTATATTATGTCTAGGCCTATACGTTCTTAAATGATTGATTGATTTTGAAGCAGAAAGTATATAAACGCCACAAAAAGTCACATTATTTATGCCCCGTCCGGCACTCAAAATTTCTGACCGACGCTGACAGTCTGCCGACCGGCATTGCTTTTTTTCAATGATTCTGTGAATTATTTTAGGGGAAAAAAAAATCAGTGGATTTTTATTATATTTTTCGTAATATTATTGAAGTTTACAGTATGTGATGCTTTATGTTTCGTTGTGTATTATGTCTAGGCCTATACGTTCTTAAATGATTGAATGATTGTTTTGAAGCACGAAAAAACACAAAATACATCGCCCTAAAATCCAGAACTTAATTGTAAACGCCCTTCATAGAGAAGATAGAAATATACGTTTCCGTGGTTACGCTTGTATTAGGGCAAAACATGCCCATTCGTGCAGAACGAGCCCATTCTTGAAAGAACGTATGGCGAAATACTTTATTATTAAGATTGATTGTTTTACGCTAAAGCATAATTTTTAGTAAAGAAGTGTTTATTTTATCCTGCAAAATATTCTAAGTTGAAACTTTATTGCTTTAATATAAGAAATTTAATTTAACTATAGCTGTAACTTATCAAGAAACTTGATTTGTATCTTAGAATAAAGTATATAATATAATTAATTAATCCTGCATTATAATTATATATGTAAGATTAAGCAAGCCTACCTATTGCAAGACGATTATACGTTCCAAATACAAGTGATTGATTGGTTACCGTATTTAAATAATTAATTAATAATTAAATCTAGGCATGAATGGAAATACATTGCTTTAAATAGGTATCAATTTATCAATTTGCCAGTACTAAGTTGCCTAGTAACAATTAATTCAGTGAGAAACGTTCTCACACGTAGGGTCCAATGATACTCTTGGGAGAATAAGAAAGTTTTGTACGCTGCCAATTCAAGAATGTTATCGGAAAGTTCAACCTGGTTTAACGAGCAATAATACGGTTATAACACACAACAGAGGTTAATGATCATAATCAATGTCTGTATTATGATTATGTAAAATAATTAATAGACAAGAAACAACACGTTGTATAGGCCATGGCCACAGACCCTACATTATAGGGTCCACAGACCCTACATTATATGGTCCACAGACCCTAGATTATAGGGTCTGTATAGGCGAACAACTCGGATAACAACCACATTCCTAAACCATTGCACATGTTCGTACAGTTTCCATGTACAGAGATCAAGCCA